GATCAATACGAATCGGCAAAGTAGAGTCGATGCAATATTGAGTCTTGATGCTCAATGTTGGCATGTATTATACTGTATGCATACAAAGCTTTAAAATGCCAGAAATTGAAGACAAAATAACTGTTTGAGTGTGAAAAATTTTTGAATAAATATTTTCCAGTTGGTTTTCCTATTACGCCCCAATCGACCCCAGATAAAGTCATCGTTATCAGTTTTACGGTAAATGTGCACCCGGGAAGCATAAAAAATGTGGCAAAATGCTTCCCTCTCCAAGTGAAAAAAATTTTTCTAAAAAAATATAGGAGAGAGATTGATGGAAAATGATCAGTATAGGTCAGTGATGGAATAATATACAGTGAAGGACCTGATCCAGTGGCAAAAAACGTACCCTTTTGCATCCGGGAAGTATCAAAAATGTGGCAAAATGCTTCCCTCTCCAAGTGAAAAAACTTGGTTTTGAAGGGCGCGCCATTTCCCTCACAAAAAGACGCTTTCGGAATCAGAGTTTTTACACTTGGAGAAGGAAGCATTTTGCCACATTTTTGATACTTCCCGGGTGCAAAATGGTACGTTTTTTTGCCACTGGATCAGGTCTCCCACTGTACAATTTCTTTTAAATTTGATATCTTTCTGGTAGCCATGCGTGCTTTTTGACAGCCTTTTTTCTATTGCCCTTTCTGCATTCCAAAACATTTTGAATCAAATTCAAATTTAGTCGCTATTATGAACCATAAATCATCAATGTTTTGTAGTTTCCTGACTAATCAAATTCCCCTTTTGTTCCGTTGATTCAGCGATTTTAAATACCAAATTAAAACAAAGTCAGCCGTTGAATTGACAGGGCCTCGAGCTTTCTTTTCGGAGTACGGTAAAGATGACGTAAACGAGTCAAAGTGCAGGCAAAAGTTTATAATATGTGAATTCAAACGCTGCGATTACAATGAAAATTGTGCTAGTTATTTCATAAGGTGCGTAAACTTTTTTCAAAGTTTTTTAAGTCTACGCACTTTATGGAACGACTAGTAAAAAAAGAAAAATAAATCCAAAAAGGGGGCCTTTCAGGTGGTATACCAAGACTTTCTCAAAATTTAAAAAAAATCCCGTCATCTCTAAATTTTCTAAAATTACAGTAACGTCCACTATTTCCTCAAAAACATCCTGCTTTACAGTCTTTTACCATATTTATAAAAAGCATGCAAAATTTCGAGAAAATCAACATCCAGCCCGTTAAAATACCGCTCAAAGATTTTTTCAGTGGTCCCCATACCCGAAAAATCAAAAATAAAATATACTACGCCTTTTGCAAGGTCGCTGGAGTGATTTTTGGCGACATGAAATGTGCGAAAAAGGTCAGAGTGCGAGCGACAAAAAAGCCTACTTATTGCACGGTGCAAAAAGCCATAAATTGCACAGTGCAAAGAAAAATTTTTGTTTTCGCACAGTGCGGTCTCGCCAATTTCAGTCCGGCGACATTCCGTTTTGATTTCTGACGGTTGCACTGTGCGAAAAAAAGTCAGAGTGCGAGCGACAAAAAAAGCCTATTGCACGGTGCAAAAATCAAGAAATTGCACAGTGCAAAGAAAAAATTTGTCTTCGCACAGTGCGTGTCGCCAATTTCAGTCCGGCGACTTGCCGTTTTGATTTTTGACGCTTGCACTGTGCGAAACAAAGTCAGAGTGCGAGCGACAAAAAAAGCCTATTGCACGGTGCAAAAAGCCATAAATTGCACAGTGCAAAGAGAAAATTTGTTTTCGCACAGTGCATGTCGCCGATTTCAGTCCGGCGACTTGCCGGAAGGGCTAGTAAATAAAATGTAACAAGACGGTCGTATTCCACCACATTTATCATCACTCCAAACTTCCGGCCTTCCCTGCGGGCATACCGCTACCGCATGTTCGGCGGCGGCCCCGAACAATGCCGGAAGAGAGACAAGAAAAATGTTTTTATAAAAGAAAATGAATTTTAAATTGAATAATCGGCCCCAATCGCTCGCCGGAATTCCCATTCTTTTTATTCAAATGTGAGGAAACGGCAAATTTCGGGTCCATAGAAGGCATAAACAGGAGTTTTGGGAGCGAAAACAGAACTCGGAAGACTTGGTACTGTAGTATCGGTATGTCGGGAAAATAATGAGCACATTGTCGCATCGAAAATCCCATCGCTGAAATCAAAAAAAAATTGATTTTTCCGCGACACATTCTCGACGGCGATGCGATTTTCACAGAACGCTCATTATTTTTCCGACAGACTGATAGCCCGTTCGCAAGGTCGCTGGAGTGATTTCGGCGTCATGCACTGTGCAGACACCCCATAGAAGCCTAATGCGCGATACAAAAAGCAACAAATTGCTCTATAAATCCTGCAAATGGCACTTTTTGGAGGGTATTGGAGGTTGTTTTATAGAGTTTGCTCTTGATGAAACTTGCCTAGAATTAGGCTTACGGGGGAACTACTCCAAGTGCGACGCTCTGATTTCGATAAAACTTGGCACAAATTTAGAATAATTTTTTCTAAGGTATGTGCGAGAATCTTACTCGCGCTTTGCAGAAACAACCGAGATTTTTAGATCGAAAGTCGGCGAAGATTTAGGACTTTTTGCCGAATTTCGGCACGAAAATTTTGATGCCTACTTCTACTGTAAAGGATAATGTTTCTACAAAAAATCAAATTTTTCGGCACGAAACTGCCAAAGTTATGGCTAAAAAGCGCTTTTCTCTGTGACCGCTCTCCACGTTTAGCGTGCTCTCTCGGCGGCAAAAATCGTTCGATATCTCGGCGGCGCCCGCAAAGCGCAAGCTAAAACTTTCGGGAATTGATATTTAGTCCATACACGATGTGTGCGCAAAATTGAAAGAAAATCTGAGCCTCGCATTTGGAGTACTTCCCCTGTTAGAATTTTCAAAGACATTTCCGAGATCCTTGTTTCTGAAGAATCAAGATTTTTAGTTACAAGATTTCGAGAATTTGAAAATTTTTTTTTCATCCAGCAATTTTAGGCACTCTGTTCTAAAGATACTTAAAACCCCCGCAAAAAATTACTTTATTCGGAGCAAAATTCAAACAGATGCGGCCCAAACAAAGCTTGTTGCTTTAGTCATCACTACAACTTATGGTAACAAAAATTTTGAAGAATTAATATTACGTGGCCCAGAAAGATCACAAAGCCAAAATTTCAAGGTATATTGACGGTCTCACTTGGAGTACTTTATTTTTAGCCAACTTTCTATCAGTATGTCCGAAAAATAACGGCGGTTCGTCGCGCGTTGGAATCGACCATCACCGCTCTGCGACAGCTAGCCGCGATTAGGAATTTAGTGCTCGACAACACCCTTTTTCACTGCGATGACCCTACGTTATTTTCCCAACAGACTGGTGTATTATTTACCAAAAAAATCATCAAAAATCAACCAATCAAAAAAGCGCCTCATTTAATTATCTTCATTATCATTTTTATCACTTCGAAATCCCTCAAAACCCTCTTGAAAATGACGGTTTCAATTAGCCTTGATGACTTATAAGCGAGCGAAAGACGGAAACTTTTTTGGGGCGGCCACAAAAACGGAAATACGCTATTGTGAACAATGTTTGTTGAAAATGAAAGCGTCTTTTGTTGTTTTGAAACAATAAAAAACGCTGTAGTCGGGTTGTCAAAACGTTTGGCCGGACTTGCAGCCCAACAAAGTGGGGAAAGAAAAGACTTGTGACACCTCTGCAAAGAGAGGTCACAAAGTCACAAGAGTACTGTAGTATTTAGAATTGTGGCCAGAATATAAATGAAAATTGGAATAGAAAGTGGTCGAAGGGCGACGGTCCGATTTTCTAAAAAATTTTGCACACACTTCAGTAATAGGCCGCATATCAATTCCTGAAAAATTTAGGGAGAGCCAATCTATTCAACGAGCACTCTTGGGTTGCCTGATAAATTTGTCTGATTAGAGGAATACAAACCCAGTAAACTCCTGTTCACATTATCCATCTTTATTGACAATTATAGGGCTATTAAAGACGTTAAAATATGTATGTATGCGTTGATTTTTTTTGATAAAATTATTACGAGATTGAAGGGATGGTACATTCAAAAATGGTTTCATACTGCCGTAGATGGAAAAGAGCGTCTTTAAAATTACTTTGACTTAATGATTTTGCCGCCGGAAAGTGAAAATGATGGAATAAGCAAAAATTTTATGTTGCATTAGGTATCTGCTGAGTGAAGGGCTAATATCTGAGTTTTCCAAAGCTTGCAACGTGTATTCTTGTAGTTCCTAGGGACGTCGAGACCCACTGTTTAGTTCCATTACACTTGCAATTGTCATCAGCGGAAATTTTCCTATCATCAAGCATTTCGTATAAAATGTCTCCGCAGTTTGCAGCCCACTAATCCCCCGACTCGCGCCCGAAAAACAAATTTTCTTCGGAAATACGCGGATTTCGTCTGTCGTTTTTTGGTGCAGTTCATCGCAACGGACTTCCCGTTCGTCATCAACGAAATTTCGTCGAGAGTTTGTTTGCAGCAAGTCAGTTGTCAGTCAAGTTTTTTTGCTTGGGTTTTCTCGGTTACTTCAAGATTTTGCGTTGAACAAACTGCAGTCCTTTGTAGATCGTATCTTTGCCCGAAGGTGTGTTGTCCTTCCTGCAGTCTTTTTTTGTTTGCTGGATTTTTTTTGGAAGGTTTTTTGGATATTGCACTTGACATGGGTAAATTGGGGTTGATCCCGTTGGTTTTTGTTGTTGTTTGGAGATAATTGGGTTATTAGAGGGCAAAAAGCGTCTGCTAGGTCATGGCAGCTAAAAGTGCCTCTTCTCTCTCGTTTTTCGTTATTTATGGACCGATTTATATTATACTTACCGAATTTGATGGAAATATTTATTTTCTCATTTTTCATTGTTGTATTGATTTCGGATCACCGACTTTTGACGTTCTCGTGACTCTCCGTCTCCAAATCCTTGTATAAAAACTATTTTTTCAGGTTCTGATACGGGAATAAAACCACGAAAACGGGATGACTGAGGTTGATCAACAAACTCATTCCAAGGAAATGGAACAATCGCAAGGGCCGTCGAATGAAGCTGCCGTGAAACCGGGAGGGCCGGAACCTCCGGTGGACACTGAGCAGATGATCCAATGGATTGTGGACATTCGTGACCGGGACAAGCGCGAAACCGCCTTGTTGGAGTTGAGGTATGGCTCTTTTTGTTGTTTTTGGTTTTTAGGAATTGAATTGATCATAAACCAGGATTAAAGCGGTGGTTAGAGCAAGGAAAGAGGTCCATAATACCAATAAAAATGCGGTCGGAAGTATATTGTTTTGTTTTGCTGGCGTTTTATCCAATTTTTGATATTACACTTGACAAAATTCATGGATCAAAGGAAGTCATTCAAACTTTTTGCAAGTATTTGAAGGGAAATAGATTATGCTTGTTGGACGTTCCTTATGGGCTTCTGCGCTTGATTAGCTCCAAGATTCGTCATGTATTGATCTTATTTCTTTTTTTTCAGCAAGAAACGAGAGGCCATTCCTGAACTTCCAGTGTGGCTCTGGCAATCCTATGGGACGATGACCTGTCTTCTCCAAGAAGTCATCAGTGTCTACAGTGCCATTGTACCTCCAGTGCTAAGTGCCACCCAGTCGAATCGAGTCTGCAATGCCTTGGCCCTAATGCAATGTGTGGCAGCTCATGCGGACACCAGAAAATTGTTCTTGGAAGGTAAGATCTTGTTCAATTTTGTTGCAAAATGTCTGAAAATTGTAGCCAAGATCCCATTGTTCCTCTACCCTTTCTTGCATACGACCAAGACCTCGCGTCCCTTCGAGTATCTTCGTTTGACTTCTTTGGGAGTCATTGGAGCCATGGTGAAGACCGACGAAAAAGACGTAATCAAATTCCTCCTGTCCACTGAGATCATCCCATTGTGCTTGAGAATTATGGAACAGGGAACGGAATTGTCCAGAACTGTCTCGACGTTTATTCTTCAGAAGATTTTGTTGGACGACATGGGTTTGGACTATGTTTGCCAAACCTATGAGAGGTTCTCTCATGTTGCCATTGTTTTGGTAAGCTTTTTCGATATTTCTTCTTGGTTTTTAGGAGGATTCAGCTGCATTATGGTCTTATATACAAATTATACTTGACTGATGTCATGTATAATATAAGTATTGCCTCGAAAAGTGAAAAATGTGCCTTTTCAGGGCAAAGTTGTCCTCCATCTGACCAACGAGCGCTCAGCACGTCTGTTCAAGCACGTCGTTCGCTGTTATGCTCGTCTTTCGGACAATGATCGAGCCGTGCAAGCTCTGGCTCAATGCCTTCCAGAACAGCTTCGAGACGACACTTTCCGTGAGTTCTTGGATCAAGATCGCAGCACGGAACATTTCTGCCGCACCCTGCATGAGAACATCATGAAAGGATACAAGCCGGGCCGACCAAATGGAGCTCATGGAATGGCCAAGGATGCGATCGCTCGGAAAGTCGCCGAAGCCAGAGATCACTCTCGGCCGGATAACCACGGCTTCGACATCTAAGTTTCCACCAAGCGGTATTAAGGTACTTGAGACGAAAAAGGTCCATTTTTGTATAAATTTTTGGTGAAAATGTCGGATTTTTGGGAAGTTTTGTGTAAAATTTGGTCGATTTACAGTCATAATGTTTTTCTTGAGGTTAATAAGTGCAGAAGAGACTATTCTCGACCTTATCTATAGGCACTGCGCTTGTATTTTTTGCAATTAAGAATTTTTAAAAGCTTTGAATGGGAAAATTGGGAATTTTTGATGATTTTTCGATATTTTAAGATTAATTTGACCAGTTTTTCGATATTTTTAGATGTAAAAAGAAAGTAGCTATTGAGTTTGAGGTAAAATTCAACTGTATGCGCTAAGTTTACCTTGTTTTAATAACAAAATTGTCGAATCTACCCGATTTTCCCAAAATCCCGCCTTAAAAGTCAGTACAGAGTTGTAAACTAATAGCTCCCATGATTCTCCTACCTTCAAGAAGTCTCTTATTTGTTTATCTTGTTGTCTTTTTGTTCGCTGTATCTTACGGAACATCTAAATATTTCCCCCTTTTTGTCGTTGTAATGGCTTCTGCCTTGTAATTGTTTCCCTTTTTTGTTTATATTACCTAAAGTTGAATAAAAAGTTTTCGAACACGTCAGAGGCTTGATTATAGGAGGCCAGAGCTGATCATTACAGTCCGGCTTGATGTTATTTATGTTGTGCAGAACTTGATGTCTACTACAATATAATTTTTTAAATTTTTTTGGTTGATAAGGACCAAACTTTGGAAAATAGCGGATAAAATGGCTGAGAGTACTATGCTCTGTACATCGTACTGCTTTTACAGCGCTAAAACTGTAATTTTCTGTACTCCCTGATTTTGCAAGCTCTTCGCTGCGAGACCCCGAAAATATTTCTCAATTTTCTTCGGATTTTTTTTGCGAAGGTTTTTGACGCGGAAAGCAGACGAAACACACTTTTTCAGTCAACAATGGGAGGTGTTGAAGTTGAACGATCACATAGAAACGGGAATTCAAGTGAGTTTTACCTTATTTTATGTTCAATACTTGGTTTAAATCTTTTTTGTTGTTAAATAATGTTTTCCATGAATAAATAGATTTTGTTATGATTTTCAATTTTCAGAACGGTCAGATAATGAGAGAAGATTCAGTGAGCACAGAACTGAGCGCAAGAGGAGGAGTAGAAGCAGATCTAGGAGTCCACGGGGACGGAGTCGAGATAAGGACCGGGAAAGGAGTCGTAGACGAAGCAAAGAGCGTGATAGAGATCGAGAAGATCGGTAAGTTTTGTTTCAGTTAGTGTTCATGCTTTTAGGAGGCTTTTATCGACTTTTTCTGCGGATATGGATTCGTTTTTTCTACAATGTTATCCATGCATAGAGTTGTTAAAATTATTCTTTATTTTTTTAGACATTCCCGCAAGAGATACCATGAGTCCGAACGAAGTCATGATAGCTCGTCTAAACGAACATTCCGGGAGTCAAAAGAAGATAAGAAACCAGATACAAAAGCTGATGCATTTTCCTACCACAACATCCGACAAGCGGTTCTGAGGAAAGCCGAAGAAGTCAAGAGCACGTTGCGACCTGGACAGGAGCCAACCTTCAAGACGGAGGCTCTGAAACCAGAGCAAGCTTTGGTTTATGCCGATTATCACATGGACAAGGCTGAAAAGGCGTTTGCCAAGTTGGAGCAGTTGAAGAAGGCGAATGCCGAATTCATGAAGAAGTTGCCGAAATTGGATGGAACTCTTCCTGGTGAGTTGGGTTTCTTTTTGTTTTCTTGAAGTTTAGGCAGTTCATGGTCAGCACGAGGTCTAGTACAACATAATATAAGAAAATGAATACGGTTCAACTTTAATTCCCGATTTTAGCTGAACCGGAGCCAGAGCCCGAGAAACCCAAGATGCAATTAGATTTGAAGCCAGAACTTCCCCAATTATCAGTCACAGATCCACGAGTTTCCCTGAGAAGTGCTAATCGGCCACGGAAAAGAGGCTTTCAATTTGTCGAACAGGGCCAATATTCAAAGCAAGCTCAAATAGAGCGAGCGCAAGCGAAGCTTGCCCAGCTTCAGAACAATGTCTCCAAGGTCGCGAAGAACACGGGAATCTCGGCAGCAGTCAAAATGGCAATTGCAACCCCATCAGGTGCGGAAGCTCACGATGATTTGCCGGATATAGAGTGGTGGGACAAGGTGTTGTTGGATGATGGAAAGTAAGGTTCTTTTTATTAGTGTTTCTTGCTTTTAGACGCCAAATTGTGGTTCAATAGACTTTTTGAGATGGGAATTTTTATTTGAGATATCAGCAGTATGATGTATAATATTTTAGTTACGATTCTGTACCATCGAAAGACATAGCGTGCGATCAACGATATGGAAATAAGATTACAGACCTCATAGAACATCCAGTGCAGCTAAAACCGCCTGATGCCGCGCTCAATAACGTCCCCATTAAAGTGAGTTTTTCGATTTTTTCTTGATTTTTAGGTACTCCTTTGGAGAAATGGCTCATAAGTACTTGGAGATGCTTTTTCTGGGTTGTTTGATTATTGAAACTTGAGAAGTGTGAAATCTGCGTTCTGCTGATATGATACCTGTCTATTTTCAGGCCCATCTAACCAAGAAAGAAATGAAAAAACTCCGTCGAATGAATCGAAAAGAGGTGCAACGAGAAGAGACCGAAAAAATTCGGCTCGGTCTAAAGAAAGCTCCCGAACCTAAGGTCAAAATGGCAAATCTGATGCGGGTATTAGGGAATGATGCCATTCAAGACCCAACAAAGATGGAGAATTATGTTCGAGATCAGGTGGCGGAGCGGCTGAAGAAGCATGAACAAAGTAATCTGGATAGAAAATTAACCAAGGAACAGAAGGGAGACAAGAAGAGAAGGAAGATTATGGAGGATACGTCGATTCAGGTGTATGTGGCTGTGTATAAGTAAGTTTTTTGATTTTTTTTTTTTTTTTTTTTTTTTTTTTTTTGAGATTTTTGTCATGGATAATATAATTTTTTGTCAATTTTTACTGATTTTTCACTTTTTTTCAGAATTTTATCCCTTGCCAACGCCAAGAAACGGTTCAAGGTCGAAGCGAACGCCAACCAACTTCAGATGACCGGCATTATTGTGTCCGTGGACGGCATGAATGTTGTTGTAGTAGAGGGCGGTCCAAAGCAACAGAAATTCTATAAAAATTTGTTGCTAAACCGAATAAAATGGTCGGAGGAGATGGTCGGTCAACGCCGAGGAGTTGCCAACGAAGACGAGGAAGGCCAACGAAACGAATGCACCTTAATCTGGGAGGGTGTTGTACCATCCCGAAATTTCTCCGACCCACCACAAATAATTCGCGCCACGGACCACAAAAGTGCTCGTGATGTGTTCCTGAAGCACGGAGTCCCCCATTACTGGGACCACTGCTTCTCACAGTCGGTTCTTCTAGACAGCGCCGAGTGATCTCGATCTTGTTATACCATCTAAATGTTGACTAATATAAACCTATCATATGTTTGAGCAGCTTGATGAAAAAGGTGTTTTTGATCCCTTCTATACTGATGTTTCATATTAATTAACATAAACGGCGCCTCAAATAGAGGTGTCAAGTAACGGAAGTACTGGTTACTACTTAATTATTGGGTTTGAAAGTATATAGAGCGAGTTGTAGTAAATCACAAATTCCAATGTGTTATTATGGAATAAAAGACATAAAAATAATATTGGGTTTTATGTCGAGTAAGAAATTGTACAATTGAGAGCTTTTTTCAAGTGTTTTCTTGTAATACCATGCGTTAAGTTGACATTGGCGACGAACCGGTGGAGCTGGTCGCAAAATTGAGCTCTCGGGTTGGGATCCAGCCCTTTTGGCCTTGCCGATTCATGCAGAAACTCCAGTTGGGATCGGCTTGACTCACCTGGAACTAAAATTGTGAGAATAAGAAACAAACTTAGTTGCTTGAGTTAAAAATGATCGTTTAGAAATAATAATTTTAGTGGAATGTTGTGTTGAAATCAGTGCAAAGTGGATCAGACTTGGAAAGTTAATTTTGCTAATAACTTTGAAAATAATGGATCAAAATTCACAAAAATTATATCTTTTGGATATAAAAGGATCCAAAAAGTATAATTTTTGCGAATTTTGATCCATTATTTTCCATGTTATTAGCAATATTAACTTTCCAAGATGTCAGGGTGACCGCTGCTCAAATTTTTTTTGGCAACTCACCTTGACATATTCTCCTTGGAAAGCACTCAGTTGTTGAGGCAGGTGGGCTCGAATATCCCGTCGAACTTTGGCGGTCCGCTCAAACGCCGGCCTCCGAGCTGGCTGGATTGGCACGTCGACGCTGCTAAAAATTTTTATAACGTAAATTGGGTTTTATGGGTAATAGTAGCTTCGAAAATGAGGTCTATTGATAAGAATGGCCAATGCTTACAGTTTGACTCGGTTCTGTGAACTCCGTCTGCTGCTGATATTGTCTGCAAATTCTTGAGGTTCCAGCTCCGCGATCTCATGATAATAGGGGTTTTCGAAGATTTTCCCGTTGATTATGCTCTTTTCCCCCGATCTCGTCGATGACGGAGGTCTGAAATTGCGAAAATCATTAGGAAATCCGCAAATTTATTAGGTTAGGTTGTAAAATCCGGTATAGAAAGTTCATACTTACCGTTTTCTCGCATCGAATGTCTCCAATTCCTCTTGCATTTGCTTGCACAGCACGCAATTGTCACAACTCCGAAATGACCTTAAGGTATCGAAGTTCTGATGGTTTTTCAAGTGCTTCAGGTAGGCTTTCGTAGGTCCGATTGGCTCCTTGATTGTTCGGTCTCCCACGAACGGCAGAACCGGAACTCCTTGCTCTTTGAGCATTCGATTGACTCGTTGTTGGATGGCCTGAGGGTTCGTGTCTCGAGGGGCAAGTCGGGGTTCTTCTGTTGAAGTCACAACCTTGTAGCGGCGACCAGGACGAATATCCTGGAAAAAAATTAGTTTTGCGGTGGGAGGGGCAAAGAAACGACAAACATATGGAAATTCATATTTTAAACTTGTAATGTGACGGTATAAATGCGAGAGAACTGTCATCGTAAACCGTAACATTGAAGCTATTGGCTAACTTAAGTTGTCAAATCGCTAGAAAAAGAGCGTTTGTACAGCAAGAATCTCATCAACAGCTAACAAAAAAGTTGAAATAGTAAAAATTTCATCCAAAATGCTAGCCAAGGGGTTGGATTGGCAGACAAAACTCCGAAATCGCTCGAGAAAGACGAATTTAGCGTTTCGTCTGGCCATTTTGACCTTTTAGCTATGAATTCAACGTTATGGTTAATCGGACAACTCCCTTCTACAGTGGGGTACCTGATCCAGTGGAAAAAAAACGTACCATTTTGCATCCGGGAAGTATCAAAAATGTGGCAAAATGCTTCCCTCTCCAAGTGAAAAAGCTCCTATTTCAAAAGCGCGCCCGCTCTTCTTGTGATTGAAAGGGCGCGCCCTTGAAAACGAAGTTTTTTCACGTGGAGAAGGAAGCATTTTGCCACATTTTTGATACTTCCCGGATGCAAAAGGGTACGTGTTTTGCCACTGGATCAGCTCCCTCACTGCAGATCTATAGTTCATTTAATCCCTTTGTCTAGCGACTATATCCCTTGAATTCCCAACATTCCCCCAAACTCTTACGGGAACGTAGTTATGTGGCCGTCCATGATCATCCCGGGGCTGTGGTATTGTCGTAGGCTCGAACTCATCATAGGCATCCACATCGATGGAAACTTTTCGCTCCGGTTTTTTGTTTTTGACGTAAATATTCCGCGAATTGACCGGCCTTATCAGCGGACTGTAGTCTGGTGGTGGTATGTAGGGTAGACGATCTGATGGGTCAAACATTCGGCTGAAGATACGATTTTCTATTTAGGGAATGGTAAAATACGTTTAAACTTTTGAAAACTTTAAAAAATCGCCAAGAACCCGTAAAATCGCAGTTTAATAGCTCAAGACCGACCTTGCAATACCCAAGACACCCCCAATTACTCGAGTATTTGCCCTCAAATTGGCTATTCCGCTTATTAGCGGTGTTTACCGCCGGATCGCTTTACCCTTTCCAACGGAGACGCAAAAAAACGTTCGCCCCGAAAAATGAGGGAGAATGGAAGAAAAGCGGATTAAGTTTTGTTGTTGGGATGATCGCCTTGGGAAGGCGACTTGAAGAATGGTATTTACACTCACTAAGCACATCAAAAACATGCACTGTTAGTTGAGAATGGGGTCAAAAAACAAGGTTAGCATAGGGAGGTGTAAGGGGGACATAAAGGAAAAAGTTTTTATTTTTCAAATGGCAAGAAAAAAAATTTGGACATTGATAATACCAGTTTGTCGGGAAAATAGTGAGCGCAATGTCGCAAAAAAAGCCTGTTGCGCAGTGCAGAATGACCTGTTTTCTCACAGTGCATGTCGCCGAAATCACTCAAGCGATTTTTTTGAAAACACTGTAAGTCTGTCGGGAAAATAGTGAGAAAAATGTCGCTGCGTCAATCGCGTCGTTGAAGCAGTTTGATGTTGTCGCGAGACAATTCATTTTCTCAGCGACTATGCGATTTTCGATCCGACAGAATGCTCATTATTTTCCCGACATACTGATAGTCCGTTCAAAAAAGTGGCTGGAGTGATTTCGGCGACATGCAGTGTGAGAAAACAGGTCGTTTTTCACAGCGCAACAGGCTTTTTTTTGCGAAATTGTGCTAACTATTTTCCCGGCAGACGCACTGTGAGAAAACAAAAATTTAGCGTGCACAGTGGAATATTCTGCTTTTTGCACTGTGAAATAGGCTTTTTTGGGCTGTAACTCACACCCCGAATCCTTTTGCGCAAAAAACCCACTCCAGTAAGCGACTTTACACGCGGACTAGCACACCTGGACCACGCATACCAAATTTTAATCATTGAGCGTTAAAAAAATAAAAAATTGAGCAAGGTTTGCAAGAAAATACTTCACAGTTCATAAGGCTAGGCGTGATTCCAATGCCTTAAAGGCGGTTACATAATTTTATCGAACAAAGGGTTTTTTATAAGACAAAAAAAGAAAATTTCGAAAAATCCCGTTCAAACTGCAAATGTGTGACAAGAGTAACTAACCCAGATTTCTCCTCCCACCCAATCCTCATGCATTCAACAAATATTACCTCAATTTACCCCGGCGCGAGAAACCTATATGTGACGGTTATAGCGGATGGAGTGGACCTCTTGAACGGGTGAGCGATCGTCTCAAAGGCGGTTCGAAAATAATCCGGCGGTCAACAAATTCGTGGGAGCGGCTAAATTTGACAAGGGTTGGGCCGGGATTAGGGCTAGGCGCGGGATCTCCGAACTTCGGAGGTTTGGAGGGGTTCTGCAGGGTTTAACTTTCAAAAATTTACAGTACAGTGTGCCTAACCCCCAAAAATTTGGTTTACTGCAAACTCCACGGCCTCTAAACTAACGCTCTAACTAGCTAAACATAGAAATCCCCGTCCATTTATACCACAACCATCCCAAAAAAGGCATGGAGAATGTGTATGGAAAGGGTTCGCGGAAGAAATCCCCAAAAAAATATCAAACAATAGGCCCAACGCAACAATAGGTTGCAAATTGCAAGCCCTTTTCGAATCACGGCTGGATATTGAATATCTCCACGCTCGGTTTGAAGAAAAGTTTGGGAAGTTCGGTTGACCGACCGATTCGAGGCGAAAGAAGTTCGATTGAATACCCAAAACTCGTTGGTTTCGGTTGGTTACAAAAAAGTTGCGAACCTGGGTTGGCATTGAGAAACGATGAGAATGGGAGTAAAGTTATAATCAAGCGCTACAGTAATGCAGACCCTCTACCATTTGAATATTTGGGCCTGAAAATTTTCCTAAAATGATAAGTTAGAATTTCTCGAAGTGCCACGCTCAGATTATCTTCAAATTTCGTGCGTATGATCTGTCTAGGCCCCATAGCGATTTCCGAATATTTTTATCTTGAGCTTTACAGCCACGACCGAGATATTTAACAAATCTTTGCAGGCGAGATACATGGTAACCCGTGTTTTTCATACAGAGTTTTCCATAGTGTCTCGACTACAAAGATCGCTGAATATCTCGGCTGTGCCTGTATAGATCAAAATGAAATTTTCGGGAATTGCAATGGGATCTAGACAGATGATACGCACGAAATTTGAAGATAATCTGAACATGGCACTTCGAGCAATTCCCACTTAAAGTTATAGGAAATTTACCGGCCGAAATATTCAAATGGCAGAGGTTTTGCATTACCGTAACTCTTGATTATAACTTTACTCCCGTTCTCATCGTTCTCAATGCCAACCCCGGTTCGCAACTTTTTATAACCAACCGAAACCAATGAGTTTTGGGTAATCAATCGAATAGTCCTAGCCGCATGTAGCCGTTATAGATCACGCACGCGAAATATAAAGACAATCAAAGCGTCGCACTTCAAGAAATTTCCAACCTAAACTTCCTACAAATTTTGGCGCATGTTTGCTTTTTAACCCTTTAAAATTTCGAAGGCATAATCCTTATCACTTTTTCGCAGGCCTTCGTTATTCCATCGCCCTCCAAAAGAGCACCTCAAAGGCAGAGACGGGAGCAACACTAGTTAAACTAGTTGTAAAAAAACGCCCATTTATACTTATTTAGATACACCCTCCCAAAAAAGGAGGATTCAAAACATTATGCACCCATTAAGGCGGCGGTTAAACGCGGTTTTGTAAAAGTTCGAACCGGAAGAAGGTCAGGGTTTCCCGAATTTCCCACCAAATCCGCATTCTTCCTCAAATTTCTCGCCCAAAACTGGGGGGTTTCTAATGGCGCTGGAGAAAATTTCGCGGAAAGAAAGAGCGCCGTTATCAACAAAGTTTTTATAAATAAACCAGGAAAAGTGGTGATAACAGAGGTCGGAAACGTGAGTAACTATTACGAAACAGAGAGCAGTAAATATGAGAGGATGACTAAAACAAAGGAAAGCGGTACGATTAACCGAGCAAAGGACAAAATCAGGATTAGTACTGCTATCAGTTTGTCGGGAAAATAATGAGCGCAATATCGCATCAAAAATCGCACCACAGTCGGGGAAATGGATTGTGTAGCGGGAAAATCAAATTGCTCTTCACTTCAGCGACGCGATTAATGTACAAAATCCTCTGAAAATAATGCTACTACAGTGACGGACCTGATCCAATGGCAAAAAACGTACCGTTTTGCATCCGGGAAGTATCGAAAATGTGGCAAAATGCTTCCCTCTCCAAGTGAAAAAACTCCGGTTTCAAAAGCGAGCCCGTTCTTTTGTGGGGGAAAGGGCCCTTCAAAACAAAGTTTTTTTTCACTTGGAGAGGAATTTTGCCACATTTTTGATGCTTCCCGGATGCAGAATGGCACGTTTTTTGCCACTGGACCGGGACCTCCACTGTAGCTGTTAAAGACGGTTTTGGCACTTCAGCTAGGTCAGGTCGCGACCTAGGTTGTGAGCTTGGAGACAACTTGACCTGAAGAAAGTTTCTTAACCATCATAGTCAAGCGTTGAGACCTTTTTCGGTTAATTTTGGGTAACCACCCTGACCTTGATCACGGCGTAGTCACTAGCTTGGTTATGAACGACCTGCTCGACGGTGTGAACACAGAGCATCCACCTTGACTAGCTATAGTGGCGGACCTGATCCATTAGCCAAAAACGTACCATTTTGCTTCCGGGAAGTATCAAAAAAATGCTGCAAAATACCTCCTTCTCCAAGCGAAAAACCTCCGATTTCAAAGGCGCGCCCACTCTTTTTTTGATAGAAAGGACGAGCAGTACAAAACGGAGTTTTTTTAGTTGGAGAGGGAGGTATTTTGCCACATTTTTGATGCTTCCCGGACTCAAAATGGTACGTTTTTTGCCACTAGATCGGGTCCCTCACTGTAGTCGACCAATTCTGCAACATTGCATACAAATATTGCCCCAAATGAAGGGTTGCGGTGATGTCATCGAAACCCCCAAAACAGCGCTCCTATCAAGCCGCTGCGCAACGATAAATCCGTCGAATGTTCCTGTTCGGGGATGTTTCAGTGTTCGAAGTGAGTGGGCTGGAAGGAATTGAAGCAAGAATATTACTTTTCCCTTCTTTATGCAATCGAGAAACATCAAATTAAAAGGAATCAAGTTCCCCCGCCTCGTCTTACGTAAAAATCGTGTGCGGGCAGCAAATACGGAACTCGTAATTGTTGCCTACAATTGCTAATTTTATGAGGAAATAATTTTGGAGCGATAACGTTGTGGGGAAACATAGCTATGAATATGCATAGGGGCGTTTTTGGAAAGGTCGTGGAGAGAGATTTGGTGTGAAAACAAGGATGATATTGCACTTGGTTTATGATACATCAAAAAAAAGATATTTGAAAACGAAAAAAAATAATTTGAAAAGTAGTATTTTGCAAAAAAAAGAAGATTTTAAAAAAAATTTTTCGAATTTTTAGGGGGTTTCTTGAGGCAACCCGAGCCTATAATTTTCAGCTTGAACATAAAACAAAAAAAATTTCACATTAAAACTCAAAATTCTTCATATGTCATTATCGCAAAATATGACCGTACCCGCAACGCTACAATAATTCGGATCTCCGGAAATTTGGTTTCTTTCCCACCCGCTAATTATAATACCTCGCTATTTTGAGTTGTAAACAAGCAAACCTGATGATTAGATGGCCAATTCCACTCAAAGCGAGAGGAAACCCGAGAGCCCATCATTATGAATCTTCCGATTTGGAGATGGGAATGCGGGAATTTTGTGGGGAGATGCGGGTTTCAAGGACAGGAAATTTTTCTGACAAAAAGTAGCCGATTTATGGCAAAAAATCTCGTTTTTTTGAGATGAAAATGAATATTTATTGTCTAGAGAATCGACTGTAAATTGAAATGACAATTTTTCACTACATTTCTAATATCTTCAGCTGTAATTTTTTAATTCATCCACCCGGACTCGAACCCGCGACCTTTTGAATGGTAGTCCGACGCACTACCGGTTACGCCACCTTTTTTTGCACTGTGCAAAATCTGAAATGCACGGTGCAGGACCACTAAAAGTCTATGCACACCATAGTATAGGCTATTCGATGCAGAATTTTATGCTGATTCCGAAAATCGAAACAAAAATTAGAAAAATTATCGAAAAAATCGAGAAAATGGCCATTTTTTAGATTCTAAAGTTCAATACGGTACGTTACCGTAACCTTACAGCTTAGAATCCAATTATGAAAATGTTCGCTATGCCGAAAAACATAGGTGTACACGTTTTTAGAAGGATTAGGCGTTGGATTCATCTGGTGTAGAGGTTTGAACGCAAAACAGTAATTGTCCAATAAATCCGTCATCGTGACGTATTTTTCGGAAAAATTGTAAGCTATTGGAGAGTACTGATGTGATCTATGAAATTTTATGAGAATCGGGTTGAAAATCCACGAGCTTCTATATTGTTTTAGACATCGACGTCAAAATTTTTATATTTTAGATTTCAGCTCTGCGCGGGCGAATGCTAGATCGGCACACCATTGCGTTGGCATTGTTCATCGGCTTCATCGTCTTTTCCTTCGCGACCATTCTCATTTCGCAGCTGAGGATGACGCTCACATCACTTCAACGAAACAATTTGACCTTGTAGTTACAGTACTGCCGATCTCATTTTTCAATATTTTTTATCCTAATCCTGAATAAAAAACACTTATGACTCTCTTCATTCTTCATATTGTTTCATAATCAATCATTTATTATGCGAATCCTAATTGTTTACAACAATAACACATATCATATTATACTAGGTAAAAATTTGTACAAACAGTGGAAAAATGAAAGCGTAAAGTCCTCTAAAATATGCTGAAATGCTATCAGAAAGACAAAAATTGTACTCTAGGAGTAAGAAATAAATAAAAAATTGGAAAAAGTGGGATAAATGTTATCAAAAGCTTTGAGAGATACCTGAACGACCGACTTGGGTTGTAATGGAGGGGGGAAATTTTTCAAATACTATCCAAAATACTCTAAATATTCTTCTAGATACTATTTCTTTTCGAATTTCCCGAAATTCCAACAAAAATTTTTTGGCGAGCTGCGCCCAGGCTAAACCCAAAAAACCCCCGGAAAAATAAAAAAATCCCTCCCTCCATTACAAATGCTAGGAAAATTGAAAATGTACACTAAAACAAGACTAGTAAACACCGCGCTACAACCATGAAAATTGTAGCGCCGGTTTTACCGCGCAAAAATCAGATCAATCGCTCGTCTTTGTTGACTGATGTCATGGGCATGGCGTAATTGCTGGCGACGGCGTTCTCCTCGCGCGCTGGGTTGTATTTGCCGTGCAGTCGGCGGCTGCGGCGCACGTATCGGGCCATCAGCAGAGAGCCAATGGTCGCGGCCAAGATGAGGACTAAAAAATGGGAAAATAAATTCAAAATCTTGTAAAAAAATAAAAAAATTTTTACTGTATAAAAAATCACATGACATTTTAAGACCTATCAAGTTAGATGCGAAGCTATTTCAAGCTTAAATTTTCAAAAACTGACAAAAAATTTGAAAATTTGTCATGTACAATATAAGTTAAAATCTCAAAATTTCGACAAAAAACTGATCTCTTTCGAAGCCTTATATAACATAAACCCTATATCAGGTCCCAATCTCCCTACCAGACCTCAAATCCACTGCAAATCCAATAAAAATTTCTCCAATATTCACCATGTACAACATGATCTAAAATTCAAAAATTGATATCAAAAACTCTTCTCCCAGACGCCCATATCCAATCTGTTATTTTAATTGAGCCATAATCCACCTAAACTCCCTCAAATTTCCCCAAAAACCAACCCAAAAACACCCCAAAAATCGTCTGTTCAAAATCCCTTACTCGCAATCACAGTTAATGCAATAATCCACGTGAAAGTTGTGGATTTCCCGGTGGCAGCGTTCGTCTCGTTCTCTTTGGACTCTTCGCTCGTTCCCGCGGGCGTGGTCGACTTTTCCGTGGTCGTTTTCGTTGTTTCCGGCTCGAATTCCTCGGCTTCCGCGGGCTTCTGATCCGACTTTTCCGTCGAGATCTCCTCTCCGAATGGATTTGGTGGTCGTCCGGATGGGTCGACGGTGTGGAATTCGGGTGGGGTTTCTGAAAATATATTGTAAAATCGGTTGAATCAAAAGAATTAAAAAAATGAAACTCAAAAAATGCCAAAAAGTATCCAAATACCTCATTTTTTGACAAAAAAAATGCGAGAAAGTATCCAAATAATTAATGTTGGATCAAAAAAATTTTAAAGAAATCCAAAAAGTATAAAAATCCTCATTTTTCGACCAAAAAAATATAAAAAAATCCAAAAAGTATCCAAATACCTCATTTTTCGACCAAAAAAATCAAAAAATGCCAAAAAGAGTCCAAATACCTCATTTTTCTTCCAAAAAAATCAAAAAACCAAAAAATCTCCAAAACCAAAAAAAAATCCGAAAACCCCAAAAAAACCCAAAAAATCTCAAAAAACCCCCATTTTTTCCCCTTACCAGTGCCCAAAGTCTCATCTACAATAGAGTGTTCCGGTCCCATGGGTCCTTGAGTGACTTCTTGTGTGGATTCCGTCGAGATAGTTTGGGAATTTTCGGTGGAAATGGGTTCAGTTTCGGTTTCCTCGGCGGCTTCGGGGATGGTGGTGGTAGTCTGGAGCAATTTCGGTTTCGTCGAGTCCGTCGCCGGGAGTTTGTGAATGGTGAGTGCGGGTCGGGCGGGTTGGTCCGGCTGGGCCGTGATTTCCGTGGGTTCTGGGAGTTCCTGGGTCATGGGAGCGAAGCCGTTGTCGCCCTCCTCTTCGGACTCGTTTTCCGGGAAGGTTGGTGATGGGGGAGTGGAAAGGAGGTGGCTGAGGTCGGGGAGACGGGTGAACATCGTGGAGGAGGGGGTCGAGGAGGGCGGTGGGGTCTTGGGTTGGGTGGGGCGAGGGAGGATCGTGGGCTGGGAGCCTGAAAATAAGAAAAATTTGAAAAAAAATGAAAAAATTAAATTTTTCGAATAAAAAAATTTTTCGGAAAAATGCTGGGAGCCTGAAAATAAAAAAAAATTTGAAAAAAAATGAAAAAAATCAAATTTTTTGAATAAAAAAATTTTTTTCGAAAAAATGCTGGGAGCCTGAAAATGAGAAAAATTTGAAAAAAGAATGAAAAAATTAAATTTTTCGAATAAAAAAAAATTTTTCAAAAAAAATGCTGGGAGCTTGAAAATAAGAAAAATTTGAAAAAAATTAAAATTTTTGGGATAAAAAAAATTTCCAAAAAATTTTGGGAGCCTGAAAATGCCAAAATATGAAAAAAAAATTTTCGGAATAAAAATTTTTTTGAAAAAATAAAAAAAAATGCTTCAGTAATACCACAGACAATGTTTTTTACAAAGACTAATCACATTCAAAACAAATATTTTATATTATACTACCCAAAAATCTCGAAAAAAACAAAAAAATCACAAAAAAATCCCCAAACTACAAAATTTATATGGCCTAGTACAAATTCTACCGCCACATTCTTCCAAAACCCCTTTCAAACCCGTCAATTTCCCTCCAAAAACCTTCTTTTTCGACCTTATCCACCCCTTACCTGGCAATCCAGTCAAGCCAAACAAGGGTTTGACCTCAGCGCTCGTTTTCTCCGCCGAAACCGTTGATTGCGCCTCCGTGACCATTGGGAATTGGATTTGCTCGGTGCTGTGTTCATTCGACATCACTCTTTCTTCAATTTCAGGCAGAGCTTGAGTGGGGGGTGGCCTTGGAGGGACACTGGACTGAACGGTTGGTGCTGCTTTGGCGAGGGCGGGGCGGAGCTGGGAGCACTCGACGAATCCGCGCTGGGTGGGGCATTGACAGCTGTAGACGCCGTCGGAGAGGGCCTCGAAGAAGCGGAACATGTCTCCGGCGTCCTTGAAACAACGGGCATCCGGACCGAAGTGAGCGCAGGTCGAGTTCCTAAAATATGAAAAATTAAAAAAAAAATTTTTTTTTGTAAAAAAGTTTGAATTCCTAAAAAAATCAGAAAAATCAAAAAAAAAAATAAATAAAAAAAAATACGAGAAATTTTTTTTGTAAAAAAAAACTGGAATTTCTAAAAATAAAAAAAATTAAAAATAAAAAATGCAAAAAATCAAAAAAAAATTAAAAAAAAATTTAAAAAAAAATGCAAAAAATCAAAAACAAAAATAAATAAATAAAAAATCCGAAAAATAAAAAAAAATTTTAATTTTTTTTCAAAATCAAAAATTTTTAACGTCTCAAATTTTCCTTACTTTGCGCACAAATCCCGGAGATTACAGTTGGATCCAGTGTATCCATGAGGGCATTTGCAGACATTCGCCTCCGTTGCGATCGCCGAGGCTTGACAAACGCCGCCGTTTTCGCAATGAGGAGTGCAAATTGGCTGCTGAAATTCATTTACATCACTTTTCAAATATTTTAAATTCAATTTCACACATAAAAATACATTTTTTTTATCTATTTTACCCATCAAAACACCAAAAATCAAAAAAAAATTTTTTTTTTCAAAAATTCAAAATTTACAAAAACATAAAAAAGCTATCGTATTTTACCCCAAAAATCACCAAAATATCCATAACAACCTCAATACAACCTTAATCATCCCAAAAATCCAAAAAAAAACCCAAAAAATCCACTCACATTCAGCTGATGACACTTCTCTCCGGCGATTCCCCTCGGGCAATTGCAGACAGCTCTTCCATTCCTCACCTGACAGGTGCCTCCGTTCTGACAGCCCAAGTTGGCGCACAAATCTTGCTCGCAATGTTCGCCGGCAAAGCCCTCGGGGCATTTGCACTTGGCCTCGCCGTTTTCGGCGGAGCAAGTCCCATTATTGCATTCGAAATTGTCGCATGGATCGGCGGCGGCGGGCGTGGTCGCCTCCGATGATAAGATGGTGGTTTTTTCCGCCGATTCAACCGTTGTTTTTGGTTCCTCCAGCGACTCCGGCGGGGTCTGTTTGACTTCGCCCGAGATCTGTTGACTTTGCTCGGGCGCCGCGGTTTCGGCGCTCGCTGGAGTGGGCTTGGTTGCGTCTGTTGATGGAGTCTCGGCTAAAATTAGAGGATTCATCAATTCAGAACAATATATAACGTTAATTTCGAGATTTTTCAAAAATCAATAAATTTTGTGACATTTCGTCAAATTTTAAAAATGTCCAAAAATGCATTCTAAACACATTTTTGCCCTAACAAAGTGAAAAACCGCATTTGAAAAGACATTTTTAAAAACCAATAAATTTTTTGACATTTCGACAAATTTCAAAAAATATCTAAAAATGACTTCCAAACACTCGATAAGCCTTAAAATTACTTCTAAACATTCTATGAGCTATAAAAAATCCCATTATAACATCATAACCAAAATAAAAAAAACCAATAAATTTTGTGACACTTCGTCAAACTCCCCAAACAAACCCCTACCTTCGCTGGTTGTGGTCTTATCCGTGGTGTGTTCGACGGATTGCGTGAAATGGAACATGGGGAAAGCGGGGGACGCGACTTCGTCCGATTCCGCGTCATCGCCGAACGGCTGACTCAGCGGATCCGCGGTGGTGGACGCGGGCTTCCGTCGGATCGAGCTGAACGCCGTGTTCTCGGCGAACGGCAGGCCTCGCTTCACAATCGGGCATCCGCAGTTCAAATGCTCCGCAAAATACGAATGTTTTTGGAGTTTGGGCGGGCACGCGCTCAGGCTCGACTCCTCGTCCGCGTGCAGGTTCTTGATGCATCGGGGGCCATCGGCGGCTTTGATTTGGACCAGGTAGGCGTCGAGTTCGTCGCTGTTCAGCAGCGACTGGATTGGTTGATGGTCGGCGGTGGTGTTGCACTGGAGTTCGGCTTCGTTCAGCTCCCAGTTCACGCGGTGCCAGTGGAAGTCCTGCTCGAGTTCGCCGCGCCAGCCGGCCGGCGTGGACTTGGCTTGCACCGAGGTGGAGCAGTCGGCGATTACGACGCCGGTGTCGGAGTCGGAAACCGTCAACAGGACTGTTGGTTTTGGGGAGTCGGCGGAGCTGGAAATGAGACTTTATGGTGGGAAAAAAGGCTTCAAAGTATTTTATAAAACACTAAGCGGGCGTACAGTGGTCCAGTAGTAAAAAACGGACGATTTTTTGCATTTTTTTCGGTTTTTTGTTTGGAATATTGGTAAAATATGACTGATCTATCTATGACATCATTTTTTACATTCTTTCTAGTCTTTTTGGTACAGTTTTTGGCGACTTATATTATACATGACTCTCGAGTTTAAGTCCCACCACGAAATCTTGAACAGTCCGGAAACTGGCTGAAAATCGTGTAAAACGGCTGTTTACAGTGACGGATCTGATCCAGCGGCAAAAACGTACGATTTTGCATCCGCGGAGCATCAAAAAATGTAGCAAAATGCTTCCCTCTCCAAGTGAAAAAACTCCGATTTCAAAAGCCCGTCCGCTCGTTTTGTGAGGGAAATTTCAAACCGGAGTTTTTTCACTTGGAGAGGGAGGCATTTTGTCACATTTTTCGATACTTCCCGGATGCAAAACGGTACGTTTTTTGCCGCTGGATCAGGTCTGTCACTGTAAACAGCCGTTTTACACGATTTTCAGCCAGTTCCCAGACTGTCCAAGTTTTCGTGGTGGGACTCAAACTCGATAGTCATGTATAATATAAATCGCCCAAAACTGTACCAAAAAGACTAGAAAGAATGTAAAAAATGATGTCATAGATAGATCAATCATATTTTACCAATATTCCAAACAAAAATCCCCAAAAATTCAAAAAGTTTAAAACAGTTTCTCACCACAAAAACAATAAAAAAACCAAAGCAAAATATCAAAAATCTTTACCCTAGAAACGAGTAGGACCCTTTCCACGGCAGATCCTCTCGTTTTATCCGCCATGCTATCCGTCCATTCTCCAGGTCTCCGAAACTAACGGCGTGCCTGGCTTCCGTCGCCCGCGCCACACTCGGCGGGACCATTTGAGCAGTTGAAAGACCTCTGACCGTCGCTATACATAGTGATAAAACTGAAAATATGATTTATAAGGCACAAAGTATAAGACAATTTAAAAAATTTACCTAAAATAATGTCGGGGAGAAACAGCTTATTTTGGATGGAAAAAAATAAAGGAAATTGAATAAAAAATACACAAGAGGGAGCTCTAGTCCTATTTCACATTACGCAAGGCAATTCAGCCAAAAAATAATGTGACAATTATGTTTTCGACATCAAATTTCAACAACTACCTAGTGTAATATAATTTATTGCCCGAAAACCAAGTAAACCAAACAAAACAACTTTCAAAAGATGCGAGCAGACAAATGACCTCATAAAATAACAAAAAACGATTTTAGGTAATAAAATTTGAACAATTTTAGATTAAATTCTAGTGTAATATAATTTTAATATCGAAACCGAACCAAACCTTCTCAAACACTATTCAACCCTTAAAGATCAACAATGAAGACGGAAACACTTACCAAACACCAGGATCATACCGGGAAACGTTCGATTCGGGCGGCTCACAGCTCCCAAATCCATGGCCGTTCGGCGGGCCGCTGTTCGCAAAAGTGGGATAAAGATTCCGGGAACGTCGGCGATTTTCGTGTTCTAGAGACCAATTTTCACTTCAAACGCCCAAAATTCATTTCTCCGCAAGGGGGCGTCTATTCTTATATTGTACTCGCCTCCAGAAGGTCGGGCTCACAATGTATACCGCGAAACGGGCTGCAATCGAACCGAATGTGGGTTGGTTGACAAAGTTCAAGATGAGAACACCCGCGAGATGTTTGGGAAAGTGGGAAAAAGCGAGGAAAAATTGAGATCAACGAAAAATACGGGAAAATGGTCAATTCGAAGGGAAAAATGGGATTTCTAGATGGAAAATGGACAAAATACGATGGCCAAGAAATAAATAAAGGTAAATAAATGTGTAAAAGACGATTTTGAATGGATTACAGGTGTAAAATACACGAAGAAACCCGGGAAAAAAAATTTTGCGGGAAAAATCGGAAAAACAAATTTCCGACGACGAAATCCCTGAAAATCAGGAGAATTCCGCTGGCAAATTGACATTCAAATGTTGATCAAGGAAGATTCAATCATTTTCTGTAATAAACAGACATGAAACTTTGGGAAATTTTAAAATTAAAAGCCTTTTCAAACGGTCAGGTAGTCTAAAACAATATCGACCTAAATCCCGAGAAATCTCGTTTCGAAAATTCTGGAAAACTACTGTAAAACATAAACCAATATACGAGCTTTCGAATGGCATCAGGATTGCCACAAATTGGGCCAGGATTTCACCCGCAAATCCGCAAAAACGGTGGGGGGAAGATCCGCGCAAAACCACAAAGTTCGCAAAGTCTGTAACCAGTCTCGCTAACGGGCTGGAATTATGAAGTTAGAGCGGCTGCGGTGGGGGGAAGAGTGTGTGGTGCGTGTTGCGACAACCTGAAACATCACACTTCAGCCAAATTTTGCGCGCAAACAGCCAACTTTTTTGCGGTGCTCCGTTTCGAATTTGCGCGGAAGTATTTCTGGGTGTGGAGGGGAGAAGGGGGGAGGATGCGGCCGGCGGTGGGGAGGGGAGAAATCTTCGACCAAATAGAGAGGCAGTGGTGTTGGTGGAGCGGGCCCGAGGATGCGGCTATTTACAATATCCGACACCAGTCCTCCAACCGTCTTTTTTTCTGTTGTTGTCCCTCATCATATTGTTCATGGTCATCTCCGCTAATAAGCGGAGGAAAAAGTTGGGCGACCGAAAACTTGCACTTTTAAGGGGTCAAAATGAGTCGAAAAGGTGTACTGCACGTCAATCCAAAATTTTGCCAAAAATTATTTTGCAAAATAGAAGAAAAAATTTCCCGCCCCTTTTTGGTGATTCGTTCAAAACGAAATGTCACAATCCGATAAAAAGCATTTTCTTATCTTTCTTCTTTTTTTCGAGAAAAAGGCAGGAAATGCGCTGGATTGACGTGTACTGGGAATTTTTTGGAACATGCCTGCTTTGGCATGTTCCAAAAAAAGTCTAGCCACATTACAGGGTGGCCCAAAAAAATGGAAACTTTTTTCCATGGGTCCTGCCGCGAAAACCTTGAGGTGCAGCCAAATAATTTTTTCACTGTTAAATTCTCCGTATTTTTTAGCCCTAGGTGTTTTATTTTCATGCCCATATCGCTTGGGTAACATGTTTTTTATGAATGTCAAACAAAGGGACCTCGATCTCCGACTTGTTTCGGCAAGAAAAAGGACCGTGTGAGGTTGATAAATTACTCGGTGTAGCAAAAACTGTTATGCCAAAAGCCACCAAACAACTCAACGGAATAGTCCGCAATGTTACGCGTTCGGGAAGTCGAAAAAAGTGCACCTTGAAAGCTTCTGCCAACCTTGAGATCATCAAAAAGCGAGTGAAGCGAAATCTGATGGTGTCCATGAAAAAGATTGCCCGAGAGACCGTAATCAACAGAACAACTATCTGCCAAATGGCCAAAAATGTACAGCAGCTCAAGCCTTACAGGCTCCAAAAAGTTCAGCGCCCTACGGAAGACCACAAGTTAGCACGGCTCAAAAGACGTCAAAACATCAGGCGCACGCCGCTGCTTCGGGAATCAGAGGAGATCCTCTTCATGAATGAAACATAGCTCAACATTGAGCAGGTGTACAAACGCCAGAATGGCAGTAATTAGGCTGTTGACCGTCGTCAAGCATCCAACATCTTTGAACCCTGTCAAAACCTCTTCCGTCATGGCCTGGGGCAAAATTTTGCGCCAGAGGCAAGATATCCCCGGTTTTCGTGGTTAAAGATGTCAAACTCAACCGAAACGTCTACTATCGGAATTCTGGAGGTAGTGGTGCTTCCGTGGGCTTAGTAGCAATTTGTGGATGAAAATTTAACGTTCTCGCAGGATTCAGCCCCGGCCGAGAAAGCAAAAAGTGCACGGGGACAAAAATCTGCTGATTTCGCTACGTCTGCAAAATTGCCGCCTACTCGCCGGATCTGGATCGTATAAACTAAATTTTTTTTCCAATTAGAGGCGAACGCCTGTACTACACGCCAGAAAAGTTTGGGACCGCTATATAATCACTGCGCCAAGAACGGGACCGATTTCCCGAAAAAAAGCTGCGGCGTATCGCCCAAAATTTTCAGTCACGTTTGGCGCTCTATATTGCCGCGAACGGCAGATATTTCGCAACTGGCCGAACATGTTATTAACAATGTTGCATGGTAATGATATCGATAATTACTTTGGCAAAATTTAGGGAGTGAACCGAAATACAGCTATAAATATGAGTTTCCATTTTTTTGGGCCACCCTGTAAAATTAAAAAAAATTTCAAAATTTTGATCATCACGTCATCAAAAAAAAAAATTTTTTTACAAAACAAAACTTTAAAATGTAAAAAAATCATTTATTATAATGCCAGAAACAACTTTTGTTCAAGCAGTTTGCAAGCTGAACACAAGTTGCGGAGAAATTTAAAAAAATATGCTCAAGGGTAAAAGTCATGGTCAAATGCAATATAAGCTCAAAATTCACCGGATTCGAGCATTTTTTTGCTGGAAAAATTTCGGAATACTTTGCTGGACATACAGCAGTGCTTGCATATATAAGTACATGAGTTTAAAGGGTAGCTCAACAAGGCCAAAGTTCATGTTTCCCCGGTACCTGAGCTGTGGACCAAAAATTGAAAAAAAAAAACAAAAAATTTGTTTTCCGCAGAAAGCAAAGATGCTATCAGATTGTCGCAAAATGATTTGCAAACTATTCTACAGCCTTTATGATCACCTCGGCGACATAAAAACAAAAGAAATCCTAAAAAATCACAAAATTTTCGAAAAAATCGAAAAATTTTACAAAAAATCTCAAAAAACTTGCAAAATGTTGCTGACTAATAGACCAATCACATTTAAAAAAATTCTCGGAAAGATGACGATGTTCCCTGAGACAGTAAACTAACAGAAAACATCGATATTCCCCATTTTTCCGCCCTCAAATTCCAAAAACCACCTCAAAAATTCAAAATGATGAAAACCCCTCAAAAATCGCTTCAGACTCCCTCAACCCCGCATATTCCCCTCACCAATTCCTGAACACTGCCCTGAACCAGTCGATTCGGTGGAACACGAGTTCCTCCATTGGAATAATTAGTAAAGTTGCGTCTAATTAAAGAACCGATCTCGCGCAATTATCGCAAAAAACATTTGGAAATGGAGCCGCCACGCCTAAGGAAGAGGGGGGAAAGGCGTTTGATTGATGAATATCAGCAGTGGACATTGGGCGAACTTCATTTTTTGCTTGTCGCCTCGGGGCACAAAATGAGGCCATCTGCGCCAGCTGAGGTCGTAAACTTGGAATCGAATTAGAACAACGTTTTCGAGGTGCCTTACGGGTTTGATGAGATTGGGTGGAGGTCAGATGTCGGTAGAGGTCATTTTGGAGCGCCTCAGGGATTCGTGGTGAGAGACAGAAATGGATGGAGGAATGAAAGAAAATGGTGGATAAACGTATCCAAACAGCCGTATATATGGTTAAAAGGCTCCCGAATGTCGTATTTTTGACAAAACAGATAATTTTGTGACCATCTCCAGAAGTTGTCAGGTTTTCGTCATGGGACTCAAAATTGATCAAGGGATGGAGGAAAATGGTGAATACACATATCCAAATGCAGTTGCGATGGTAAAAACAATCTCCAAAGTAATATTTTTTGCCAAAGACATTATTAGGACCATTTCCAGGGGTTCTCAGGTTTTCGTGGTGGGACACAGAACTTAATGAAGGAATGGAAGAAAATGATGGATAAACGTATATAAACAGAAGTTACAATAATAGCAACACCCCCTGGTGTCGTAGTTTTGGCCACAGATAATTTTGTGACCATTTCCAGGAATTATCAAGTCTTCGTGGTGGGACCCAAATTGTAAAAAAGACAGTTTACAAAGCTGAAAGACCTTTTTCAAAGGTCCAAATAGCTTCTATAACTATGACTTATACATTCTAAGTTATCTCTGAGCATATTAAAGTTTTCGTGGTGGGAATAAAAATCAAAAAAAAACCCATAAAAATCCATAAAAAATTCCCAAATTAAAGCAAAAATAAAGTCGTTCCGAAGACGTGGCTCACCAATTTGCGGAAGCCCTTAAACCGGGGGGTTTTCTCTCAAATTTGTCAATCGGTAAAAAGGAGCGGAAAAAAAACGAGCCAGTGACTCATTAATTGGGGTCAAACTGCTCAAAGATACCACAAACAACGGAGGGTCGTTCGATCAGCGGTTCACAATATGCCCTCCGGAATTGGATTCGATTAGGGAAATCGACCGGAAATTTGTTTTTCTGGGGGGAAATTTGATTAGTTGTAAATTTTAGGGGAGATTTTTAAGTCTTTTTTTACGGTAATCAATGATATTGGATATGGAAAAAAAATGTTGGAGAAGAAAGATGGAGGTAAAAGACGAATATTCCAGCTTTGATATAATAAAATAAATTCAAAAAATAGATGAAAAAAATCGAAAATCATCAAAATCATCATCAAAGTTCAAAAA